GGCTCAAAAAAACGGATTCGGGCGCCTAGGTGGTTTGGGCGCCTAGGTGGTTTGAGCTCCCAGGGACAGGGAGCCCTCAACAATATCAAAAACCCCCCCACCCCAAAAATAAAAAATAGGGGAGTTCTTAGGGCTAGTTTATAGCTTTAGGGAGTTTTGAGGGCAATTTTAAAGCCCCAAACTCCTCGTTATCATGAAATAGATGAAAAAAATCAATAAAAGAATACGATATATGCTCAATTTCATCGTCCAAGTGAGAAAAAAATCAATAATTCATAAAAAAAAGTCAATCTTTTAACTACAAACATGTAAACATATCGTAAAAGAAAAAAAAAAGTAAAAGAAAAAACACATGATTCATAATATAATGTGTTGTAGCAAAATAAAATCAAAACCCTATTTTAAATATGATAATACTTAAAAAATATCAAAATCAAATCGGTGTCGGTGCAAACCTTGTCCATTGGGTTGCCTAAAGTTCGCAAATCATCTATAAGAAGCTCCAAATCCACCCATGAACTATTGTCTTTGTTTTGGGAAGAAATCGGAAAAATATAAAATTTATCAATCTTTCGATAAATCACAAAATAGTGGTTTTTGAAAGTTTTTTCTCACCCTAGAGGCCATGGATTGTATATTGGGGGGTTTAAAATACCCCTTAAAACCCTCTTCCCCCCTTTTTAGGGGGAAGAAATTATGTATTTTACCCTCGCCCGAGGGTTTTTTTCCTCCGCTTGAAAATTGTCACAAGGCGGTGTCTAGGTTGCTGCCCAGACAATAGCGCCTAGGCGGCGTCCAGAAGCAAAACACCTTATGCTCTCGTCGAGACTACGCTTAGGCGTTTTGAAAATTTTTCCGCCTAGGAGGTCAGGTGGCCGAATTTTCGAACTATGAATATAACATTGGAAGATAATTTTTGTACTGTGAGAGAGAAGTCTATTTTCAATCGAGGTTTATGGTATTATACCGATTGAAAAGACATTAGTATTTTGAGATTGTGTTTTTGTTGTATCTTGGAAACTCAGGAACTCAGAAATGGTATTCGATCGTTTGTTGTATCTTGGGAATGTACTCATTGGGAGCTGTTTGCAGCATTGAATTTTACTGAGGTGGGGCTTTTAACACTTCCAATAAAGCGAGTTCACTCGTGCCTTTGGATCACCTGATTTTGATCCTTGTCCTATGGTTGTTTATGTCCATCATGCTGTATAGTTAACCGCGGTAATAACCGGCGATTTCAAGTCGGCTCGGTGATTTTTTAATTTATGGCTGACCTGAAAATGCTTACAATTCTAGGGTTTAGCAAAGAGATGCGAGCTGGCACGTGTAAGAGGTTTTAACGAGAGCAATGCAACCAAAAATCCCACACATCTTGAATAATCATGTATGAGAGAGAGAGAGCAACAGTCCATCCATTCCCAATAAGTAAAATAAAAAAAAAAAAACAATGATGCTAAGAAGAACCGATTTTGTGACTTAAGATTTTTGCTGAAAGAATGCGAGAAAGATTGACAGACTCATGTCCTCTGCCAACATCATCAATGTTGTCCAAAGAGTTACTGAGAGATTATTGGAGATGGTTTGAGAGTTGAGTAGTGCTACCTCACTAATGCTATTTATGGATGGGGAGGTATATTTAGTTCTTAAAGAAGAGATATGGGGCTCTTCACTTTTTCTCACAATTTAATTAATTAGTTATTATTTATATGATAAAAATATTATATGATAATATATTAATGTCAAATACACAACTCTTTGTTTCCAAATTCTGAAATTTCGAAGTAAATTTAATGAAAACGATTGTTATTAAAAGGATTTGAAAGGGTTGGGTCTAGTTAAGTTGTGTTGGAACCCACTTGACCTTATTTGGCTCAGGTTGTTTGGGCTGTTTGGCTGTACCAAGTCCATCCCTTGTTTTGAACATTCTTTTTTTGTTTTTCGTTTTTGTAAAACGAAAACCTAAGTATATTTATTTGAGTATTGAATGCAAGAGGTTACAGTTGTAGAAAAGTAAAGGGTTGGGGTTGGAGAATTTTTTTCATTCATTCTTTAATGGGTGGTTTATTTCTTACATTTTCTAGTGATGCACGACAATTAGAACAAATGAAAAAATACACCCTTGCATAACTAAAGATTTTGTTACAAATCTGCGGAGAAGAGAAAAAAAAAAACATGGAAAGGGCTTTCTACTTTTAAGTCTACTTGTAAAAGATCTTGTCTAAGTCAGTATTTGAAAACTTCTGAGCTAGATCAGAAATGGTGGGTGGGCAGTCTGGGTCTAAGGAATGCTGGTTTTGCATGCTTCCAACTAGTTCCTTTATTTTTTATTTTTCCTTTTTTTAAACAAAAAAATCCTGGAGAACTGGTGAGCTGGATTATAATTTGCTCAAACTGTCTCAGTTTGGCCCATAGTTACCCAAATCTCTCACTGAAGGTCGCGATTCCGATTCGGAATCCCGATTCCATGAAGTTTAGAATCTTGATTCTTTATTTTAAGAATCTCGCTTCCAACACGTATAGAATCTCATATCCAATATTTACTAGTTCTCGATTCTCTACAACTGGTGAATTGCGATTCAACACTTGTCGAAACTAGTTTTCACATTTAGCGGAATTCTACCATTTCGCTTCCCCCTTTTACTTTCTTTTTGCATTTTTCTGAGAAGTGATATTTATAAGTTTTCAAGGTAGCAAACTACTCGAGCTAGACACTCACTCTCATGCTACAAGCAATAATTGAAAATTCAGCCGCCCGAGTGCTTAGGCAAAAAATTTTTAAAAACACCTAGGTGCAGTCTAGGCGGGGTCATTATGCGCCTTGCTTCTGGGCGCCTGCCTAGACGGTCAACGCCCTTTCCAGGTGCTAGTTTTATGGGTGCCAGCCTAGGCGCCGCTCTGTGACAACTTACGGCAGGCGGAAAAAACAACCTTCGATAAGGGTAAAAGATGTAATTTATCTTCCTAAAAAGGGGGGGAAAGGGTTTTACAGGGTATTCTAAACCTCCAATAGAAAATATGTGGCCTTTAGGGTGAGAAAACGCCCCCCAAAGTTTTTTGAGATTTATCGAAAGATCGATAAATTTTTTATTTTTTCGATTTCTTTCTAAAACGAAGGCAATAGTTTGTGGGTGGATTTGGAGCTTCTAGTAGTTGATTTTGAGAACTTTTGGCGACCCAATAGACGAGCTTTGCACCGATATCGATTTGATTTTGATATTTTTAAAATATTATCATATTTGAAAGAGGGTTTTGATTTTATTTTTCTACAACATATTATGTTATGAATCATCTGTTTTTTTTTTTTACTTTCTTTTTTTTCTTTTGCGATATATTTTCATGTTTGTAGTTAAAAGATTGATTGTTTTGGTGATTAATTGAATTTTTTTCACTTGGACGATGTTTGGGGTGGGTAGGTGGGGAAGGGAGGGGGGTTTGATATTGGTTAGGGCACCGTGTCTCTGGGTGCCCGCCCGACCGCCTAGGTGGCCAGGCACCCAAACCGCTTAGGCACCCGAATCCGTCTTTTTGAACATTGGCTACAAGGTGTTGTCATCTTTTTTAGCATGAAATGAACAATAGAAACCAAAGTGGTAGTATGCATTCTCTACTTAATTCTTTGAGTATGTATTGTATTGATCCAATGGGGAGATTGCAACTCCAAGATGTTTGAAATAGTATAATACAAATAATATAAATGTGTATGTATGGCATGTTCAGTGAATGGCATCGAGACATGTAATGGCATTGAGGCATGTATTGTTTCCATCTCAGTTCCCTCTCAAGTCCAATGATGTCAGCATCTCGATTCTGTGAATGAAGAAATTTCGATTCCATATTGGTCGATTTCAGCTAGATTAAAAACGTGATTCCATTTATGTAGGGATCTTGATTCTATTTTGGTCGAATTTTGATTCTTAAAACTAGGAATCTCGTCCCCCACAATTTCTCTTGTATGAACGTCGATTTTGAAAGCAAGAATCTTCCAGCTGGTGCGATTCGTTGTTTTGAATTTCTAAATAGTTTCGGTTTCCGTGTTGCTTTGGGTAACTATGGTTTGGCCCACCTCTTGGGTTTCTAAAATAGGTCAATAGAATAATTAAATTTATAGAGACTTACATTTGGAAGGAAAAAGTTTATATAAGGTTGCAACCTTAAAATGTAGAATTAAGGTGCACCTCAAAAATCCATCATAAAAGGTTGTTTTGATGTTGGGAAATCCTCTTATTGAGCGTCTTGACATTGAGATGTACAAATATGAAAAGGAAAAAAGATTTCAAGTCCCAAAAATAGTGGCTTGTAATATATTATCTGAACCATCCATTTTCAAGATTTTCATATGTTTATAGTCTACTGGATTTGAACCATTTTTGAAGTTTAAAATTTTATAGTTAAAGTATAAAAATTGATTATCAAGCCATCCTAAGAATTTTTGACACCAAAATTATATTTATGATAAAATTTAGAGCTGCACCTTAATTTGATTTTTTAAGGTTGCAACCTTATACCAACCACACCCCATTTGGAAACATGATTGGCAATCATTTACATTAAAGATTATCTTTTAACAAATTTTAAATTGAAATACTGTATGGGGCATTGTACAGGGAGGGGTGTGATCAAAGTTTGAATGGTGGGGTTTATCAAAGAAAAAAAAAAGAAAATGCATGCACCACACATAAGGAGAAGATTATGTTTTAACAAAACACGAATATTCAACTGAAAATTACTCTTTTTATTTATAATTTTTTTTTTTTGCAGAATTTGAGTAATAGTATGGTGAATATTAGACAGCCACATGAACTTATGAAGTTTAGTTGCTATGTTGTGTGAAATTATATATCTTATCCTTTTCAATTTATGGTATGAATATTGCCATTATTCATTCGTTGTTGTTTTTTATTTTTTATTTTTTTTAAAGTTTTCTTATTGCTTTTCATTTGTTGCTTGCTAGTTTGCCTTCCAGACCTATTTCTTTTTTTTTTTCATTGATCATTTTATAGGTGGAATTGATGCAAGCTGTGAGCTTTATGTATGTCCGTCCTCCGGGTTATAATGCAGAGAGTGCCAAAGCTGCAGAGTTGGTGAAGAAAGGAAAAAAATTGAGCAAAGCAATGGTCATCAAGAGCATTCTGGAAATCAGGGACCTCTGCAGTACTATATCTCCTTTCCCTTTTAACTATGTTTTGTCTTCTTATCTTGAAAAGTGTCGCATTGGGGCTCTGATTGGATGGCTTGAAGCTTACTGCTATACTCATTCTGTTGCATTCTTCCTTTTTTTTTTTCTAGGGATTCTAGCTTACCATGTAAGGATCATGCACATGAAGATAAGAAGAAGCCAAGGCCAAAAGATGTATTTGGTCGTACTCTACCGACAGAAGAAGAATTTGAGGTTCTGAAGAATGCGCCACGGTATATCTAAGTGCTTCATTAAGATTGTGTGATTTAAATATTTATTTCTTACCATATTACGTATGCCTTGTTAAATGGTACTAGAGTAAACCCTAGCAGAAGTGCATTTTGCTTGGAATGGGGACACAATTAATAATCTCAAATTGACTAGTTGTTATATTTCTGGAACATTGTTTGTATGAGCAGTACTTGACATAGGTCCAATTGATCCTCTTTAACTTTAGTGTGACTGAAACATTCTAACCTTGTGTTATTTTATATAGAGAAATTTATATGGATGTCATTGTGCTGGCGATTTGAGAACATGCATCCATTCTGCCAAAAGAGAAATATTGTGAAACACACTGTCACATTCGGTTTATTTAGAATGGTTAAGGTGTTGGTATGATACAAGTTGTTCCCTCTGGATGTGAATTGGACATATCTAGAGTTTCCTAGATGCTGTAGCATGTCAGTGTTGTATGTGCAGTATTTGTGCTTTGGTTTTTCTGTTTGCATTGCTTCATTCTTGCTTTGTCTTCTGAAAGTGGTAATCTATTATAAGATACAGGAAAACCCAAAAAAAATGGTTTTGCTCTATTATATCAGTTTCATTGGATATTCATGATCCTCACAAGATATTTCCTTAGCTTTTTCACCATAAATTGCCATCTATGGCTTGTATTTTGAGCATTATCATTGAGGCTTGTCTATGAACCAAATTGTAATTGATTGCAGGTTAGAGACAGGTGTCCCTGTACGAGCGAAGCCCTTTGGGGTTGAAATACGTAATGTTAAATGTGTGAGATGTGGAACTTTTGGCCACCAAAGTGGTGATCGAGAATGTCCCATGCGAGATGCAATCATGCCAAATGAGGAGAGCCGTTTGAAGAGAGATGATCCTTTGACTGTTATTATGGCACAAACTGATTCTAGTGAGGTGAGCATAGTGATTTCTATTGATTGTAGTAGTAGTAATAGTAGTACGATACACAGAGAGGTCATGTTGAATATCGAATACATGCCTGAATGTGGAATTGATCTGCTGAATATCGAATACATGCCTGAATGTGGAATTGATTTGCTCAGCTTTATGCATTTTATCCCTTCCCAATATGAGCATCAAGAAAGCATAGTACCTATGTTGCATGGTTATGAGTAATTGGTCGATGTCAAACATGGGTACTGTGCTTCCGTTTCCTCGAATCGTGAAGAACAGGATGCTGTGACACTGCTATACTATAAAAGAGAAAAAACCAACATTGTTTAGTTATATTCAATCTCAATCTTAGTTGCCCAAAAAAGGCTAAATTCATCCATATTTTCGAAAGTCAATGTGTCTCTGCTCAAAGCAAAAGAGAAAGATCAAGTGTCTAATGATTTAGTCAATGGTTAATGAACAAGAACCTTGAAGAATCTGCATGGATGTGTTTTTATACATGTCCAACATGAGTATGGCACCCCGACAAAAGGATCTATTGTTTTACATAATTGAGAACTAGTCATAATGCATCCATAGGGTTTTTCTGAAGGTCTTATTTGGTGCTGGGTTAGTGTATGGAAAATGTAGTTTTGGTACTGCTTTATCCTTTGATCATCCTAAGTGCATCCCTTGCATTTTCAAAGCCAAGAGGTGGTCCGCATAGCAAAGATCTTGGGATCAAATCTTTGGAGTTTAGGCTTTAGGCAACTAAACTGTCATCCATTTTGCTTCCGAGGGCAGAGGGGCTATATGCATGGTATTTCTCTAGAAATGCATGTGAATTACACAATCTAAGAGATTAAATGAATTTACCTTTTTAAAAAATTTGCCATTATATTATTTGTACACTTTGCTCGTAATTTAGTCTTCCATTGTTATTAATGTTCCATGTGCTAATCAATTTACAGCCTTTGAAATGGGAACTGAAGCAAAAACCTGGTGTTATGAGCCCCCCTCGTGGTGGATTCAAACCAGATGATCCTAATCAGCAGATAATTCCAGAGGAAATATTCGATGAGTATGGAGGTAACTTATTAAACTCAAAATATCCTCGTCTTTTTTCATTTCCCATTGAAAATAACAATGGCATCTTCAGTACAATGATTTCACACATCTGAATTTGTTTTCACTACCTGAATATTTGAACTTTGAAATGATAACCTTGTTAGTACTCACTGAAATATTTTTGCATCTTCTATCTTTCCTAGGCTTTCTTGATGGGGGTAGTGTTCCTGATCTTTTGGCCAATTTCTTGGTGGCCAAGTCTAAGAAGCACTCGAAAAAGAAAAGAAAGAGTGGCAACTCATCTTCACATAGCCGTCATTGTGATTATCATCACAAGACCAAGTCAACCCCAAATTCCCCTTCCAAAGCAAAAAGATGGAAAGAGAGAAAATCAAAGAAGAGCCATACGAGAGAGAAAAAACATCACCGTTCTTATTCACGCACATCGGAGAGCTCAGATTCTGAAAAACATAGTAAGAGGAAAAAGAGAATGCGACAGAGATCAGATTCAACAAGTGGTTCAGATTAGTCAGGGCTGATATAATATTATGTATGGTGTATTATATTTACTTTTTATGTTAATAGAAAATAACTTACACTCCAAGCTTTAAAATTGCCTATGAGCAGATTTCTAGGGTTCGTTTGTGGGCTCGTCATCATCCAAATTCCATCAAACAAATACGGTCATCTGATATATATATATATATATATATATATATATATATATATATAGTAGTAGGTAGTATTATTACTACTACTTACTACTTACGTACCACT